ACTCCGAACCCTCTGCCGGCCAGCCCGTAGCCAGTCGGTACACCGACTGCGCTGTCCCGAGTGCCATATGTCTCATCTTATACAGCGTAACTAAGAACAGGGACATTGTTATGTTGACCTTCACGTCGGTACCGACGCGAGGTTAAGGGGCCCATATTCAGGCTGATGTATCAACATCTCATTAAAAATATCTGCCGAGAAATACAGACGAGAATAAACATTCAGGGATGAGCCGAGAAACAGCTAGGTCATTACTATTACTAATACAGAATGTAGCCCTCGCTGACTTCCTTGTATGAAGGCCTCTCGATATGAAGTCCCAGGAATATTACACTTACATTTTAGCTTTTGTATTCCAATAGTCTCATGCGTTTGAAGGTTTTCCTTAGTCAAAGGCGAAACTCCTGGCAGGAATAAAACTGCTTCAGTTGTTACTCTGCTCCTTATCCCGTATGCTTTATTTATTTATTTATTTTCCCTGAGAAGTTCCATTGGTTCTTTGATAACAGTTTGTTAAATCTTGAGGCCATGTTATGAGAACATACAAGGTAACTTCTGTCGCCTTTAAGGTTTTTTTGCTTTAAATTCAGTTATTTGCTGCCATGAACCGAAAACTCTCCTTACACATTATCAAGGCAAACATCTCCCCTCCATAACCCCATATGTTAAAAACAATATATCGCCCAACTTCTATATTGAAAAGAAAAGAAACTTCATTGTCTTTGCTCTCCATTTCACTTAGAAATTCTTATCATTTTTATATCTTCCTTATAACGTAAGGTGTCCAGCCTAGTGGCAGAATTCTGATTGGCTGATCGTCGGCCACTGGAATAACAGCTTGTTTCATGGAGACATATTCGCGATGTAGCGATCTTCCAATATTGACATTAGTGGTTAGCTCAGTGGTCTTATAGCCACTCAAGAGCAAAGAGAAGATAATGAAGAATTTCACGCTTAGCTGCCATCACAAAAAAAAAAAAAGAAGACATTTCTGTCAGCAACAGTGATTCACGAGACGAACTTACGTGAAGTGACATGTTACGGCAGAGTTAACGAGGCTGTGAACAGACGACGTCATCACACCGACTCGACTGACTGGTGCAGGGGTTACCAGAAGGCTTAGGCATATTAAGAATAATTTAAATCACAGGCGATTGAACACGGGTAATGCTTGCTAACATTCAGTCCAGAACCTTTTGTCTTCTCGTCTGTTGTCCAAAAGCATAAAAGTTAGAATGTACACAACTATAATTTTGCCTGTGGTTCTGTATGGGTGTGAAACGTTGTCTTGACATTAAGGGAGGAACATAGACTGAGGGTGTTTGAGAACAGGGTGTCGGGTCCTCCTCGAGGCTATAACGTGTAACGAAGACGACAGGGGAGCTGAGGATGACAGAGAAAGTTGAGGGTTGGCAGTTGAGTCGAGCTCTGCAAGGGAGGCTGAGAAGATATGGCACTATAGTTGAGTTGACAGTTTGGATTGAAGGAATTGACGAGTTTTGCACAGGCGGCTGTGTCCAGAGGACCCAAACGCGCGAAGTTGAAGAATCATCAGTGTGAGAAGCTCTTGCTAGGAAACGGCAGTTGAAGACACAGCAGACTGAAAAAATGCTTAGCGGGTGTTGTGGTGACTTGTAAATTGTGCAGATCAGCGGTGGAGCTGTAATTACTTGTAGTTCCGAGCGGTGTCAATAAATCCAACATCCAATTCATACCCCGTCTATAGTCACATACCAAATAAGCAACATTATTTAATTTGTCTTTCGGTGGATCTACCAGTAATCGTCTCTCTTTCGTCAGCTGTCGTTATTCACTTTACATATTCTTTGTTTAAGAAGCTTCTTGAAACAGACATCTTGTATTTTTAATATTGGATGTTATTACAAGTATTGTTTCTGGACATTGTTCATCGTGCTCCTTATTTAAAACACACAACATTTCGGAGACTGGATTCTGTCTCCGTCTTCAGATAACTATCTAGTTAGTTGGGCCAATCGATAAAGCTAGTCCCCCATCTGCGGACACCAGCACTAACACAAGATAGGATATATAAACAAAGCACAGCACGAACAGTCTGCGAGAGATAAGACACATATTGAAACACTAAGAACTCCACATACATGAGGCCTATCACATATGTTATGACTGTATTGTGAGTACGTGAAGCAGGGTCCCTGCTGTCTCAGTGCAGACAGGTTTCACATAACGCAGACTTGTGCGTATCACTAGTCATCAATTTTCAAAAAAGATGCTCTAATTAGAAGTAACCTTCTTTTACTAGTGGGTTTCCATGGTAATGACAGTTGCTCTTCCTGAAACGTCACAAATGTATTCAACTTTTTGACTGATGGCAGCAAAAGTATTTATTTCCGCGGCTAACACTGAATAACCCAAACCAGACGGACCGCTAGAGAATAGCTTCGGAAGGGTTCACATTTCAGTTACTGCCAGATTGAAGAAGTTTATAGTTTAGACTATTTTGTTTTGATTTTTGATTCCTCCTTTTCATAACATCAGAAATATTGGGACCGCAGACTCAATATTGAAATATATTGGTTATGATTTTAATAAAATTATTAAAATACGTGCTACATACCAATCAATTTTATTCGTCTTGTTTCGCTACATGTTCCTGTCCATGGACCATCACCAGATGTAAACAAATAAATAAACAAACCATGTCATTACAGAATTATTATGTTTTCGAACATTTCTGGAGACAGAATCCTATCTCCGAAACGTTCTTTGCTTTGAATAAAAACCAGACGATGGATAATGTCCGGAGACACTATAACTGTATCAACATACTGTACCATTGTCACAAACTTTTAGATCTTATATATCATTAGAGAATCGAAAATTACAAATTGTTGCAATAAGTTTATTTTATAAGATAATTAAATATCAAAATACGTATAAAATAAATAGATTGTAGTTGTTGTTTAATTTGTTAAAAGGTAAAAAATATTTGAAATAGGAGAAGGATAACTTGTCATTATGGAACTGTTTAAGTGTGACGTAGGAAGGATGTTTATGTCCAGTTAGGGTGGTGAGGGCCATGTAGTGTGTACTGATAGTTTTAATATTATGTCGTGTAGAGCCATTGCTATGTAACGACAGCGATATGGGCAGATATACCAGACCCGTTTCTGGGCAGCGGCTCAGTAAACACGATCCCGTTGGTAATCGATGACTCAAACCAGCGGCCGTTGCTAGGTGACGCCTGCAACATGCATGCAACAATAAAACTGTGTTTTCTATGTGGCCCGTGGCGAGATGTTATAACTGGGAGGTTTGGAGCTCAGGTCAGTTGTGAGACGGTGGTCAGCGTGTAGCTGAAGAATCTCCACTGTTAGAAGTCATTGCCAGGGAACGGTTGGTGAAGACATAACAGGCTGAAAAAAGCTTAGCAGGTGCTGCAGAGATTAGCGGCTGTTCTCTAGTCTTGTAGTTCATAGTGGTGGTCAGTAAATCCATAGTCACGCCTACACACAGTACTTGTGGATTTGTGTTCCTCTGGAAGTTCTTGAAGCGGTATGTGTGTAACAGACACTCTGAGGTCTAACTTATACGCATGTTGTAATGAGTCGGCCAATAATTCTGTGTATAATGTTGGAGCGTGGTGTATCAGTACTTAACAGTTCCTATCTGGGTGAAGTTACGAGTGTTGGATGTGTAGTGGAGTATTAAGTTGTGTCTAGCGTAGTAGTTATCTGATGTGGAAGTTTTCGGTAGTGGAATTCGCCGTTATTGCTAGAAGTGTGAGGTTGTTTCACTGAAGTGTCTGAGAGGTGGCTGGTTGCAATATAGCGAGGTAACCCAACAGCCCCACAGTTACACGCTATCCTCCCCCCGATTTGGATAACTGCTATAATCCATTTTGTATATCTTTATATTTTATCATATTACACAACCAGTTTATCACGATACTTTGTAACAGTTCTATTTAAGATTCTAGTTCGGTGGTTTTCATTTATTTGCTTATATGTTTACACTTGGTGATGTGTCATATACGGAAACACGTAGTATGAAAAGACAAATAGAACGTATTGATATATTATGTGTTTTAATCGATTTTATTAAAATCATAACCACTTTATTTCGTTGCTATGTCGACTGCCCTAATACCACATTTAAACTGGTTTATGAAGGATTCTCTCTGACCGTTACTCCACTTATTACATAAAAAAGTGAGGGAATTCATTTTTCATGAAAATTGATTGAATTGTCATGCCACTTGTAACATATTATTTAATCTTTATCTTTAATAATACCGGGGGCACGCGGTAGCGTATTTGGTTGAGGGGCTATGCTACAAGCAGGAAGGTCGCGGGTTCACGTCCCGATGAGGTCATTGGATTTTTTTTTCAATTGACATAATCCTTTCAGCCGCAATATGGCCCTGGGGTCGACTCAGCCTCTAACAGAAATGAGTACAAGGAATCTGGCAAGAACAGGATCTGAACACCTGAACAGCTTGCGGTATCTCAGTAGGAGAGTACTGCTGGGAATGAAACCGCAGATCAACTGGCACGAACAGGATCTGAACACCTGAACCAGCTTGCGTCCATCTCAGGAGGAGAGTATTGCTGGGAATGAAACCGCAGATCAGCTGGCAAGAACAGGGAATGGACAGATAGAAAAAAAATCACAATTGATTGTAGGATTGATGAAGAGTTAATCCAAAAGGGAAGCACAATAGATCATTGTTGGTCGCGGTTTAGGGGCCGGATTGTGGCCCACCCCTAACACACACATACATATAACAAATATGGATCCATATTTTGAGGTTATCTTTATTTTAGATGTTGCCTTATTACAAAATATTCAGAGTCAAAGTTAAAATTAAATAATAAAATTATGATTTTAACATCAGAAACAAATCTAAAATAAGGGTGCATGTGAGAAAGTTATTTTATTATAAAATCCTTAAAGTTTAATTAGAATTAATCAATAAAGCTTATGTTTTAATATCAAAATCATACCCACAATAAGGATATGTGTGAGAACATTATTCCTATGGTACACTGGTCTTGTGTTCTAGTTCTTGGGGAGTACGGTTTCTGGTATGGAGTGGTCACCCTTTGATCTTGTCGTGACGTATTTTCTTGATGTCTGTAGTGTTCCGCCTGGTGTGTGGTATCGTCTGGATGTTGGATTAGTACCCCAACAAAGGCTTCCACAACGAATGATGAGTCTTCCCGCTGAATTCCTGACGAGCGTTGCACTAGTGTTAACGTTATCATTATTAATTTCTGAGAATGTGATCGATATAGCAAATGCACGTAATCTTCAGATATTCATTGCATTGTGGGCCATATATTATGCAATGTGTACAAATGCCTGACAGCTTAAACCCGATGCAGGCAATGACGTCAGCCACAATCGGTAGCACTGACGCTACTTCCTAGCGCAGCTACTGCGCACTGCCGAGGCACTTCCGGTGGGGCCTATGCTCTAAAACTTTCATATCAACTGAGCTGCTGGTTGTATAACTATAGGGGAAGTACACGTATGTTCGATACTAGACACACGTCACACAGTCAGTGGTTATTAGGTTATATATAGAGAGCATTGTGCTTCACAATGCGTACTGAATTTGTAGTTCAAGTTTTAATACGATTGAATTTACAGATATCAATATAATTTTGGACATTGTCCAAAGTCTTGATTTTTTTTTAGCACAAGATTTCTGAAACTGGATCCAGCTGTCATCAAGTACAAGGGAGGAAACCCCATAAAGCTCTTCGGGCTCCCAGGAAACAGCTCATGTCAATCTCCTAACACGGAAACAAGTTTTAAGTAAAACATATATTACTGTAGCGTGTTGTGCCGTTCCTACGCAACGATCGTGAGATGAGCGGTTATACGAGACTCGTGTCTGGGCAACGGCTAGGTAAACATTATCCCGCGGCAACGGTTACGCATTCAACGGAGGAAACGCGGTGTTTCTGTGTGGTCCGTGCTGAGATATCATAAGTAAGGGACAGTGTTAGTTGAGAGTTCTGTACGAGACATGAAGACGGAAGCAGAGGAATAGTCATGCTGCGTTTGGTTTATATATCCTGTCGTGTGTTTGTTCTGGTATTCGAAGACAGGGAACAGCATTATTACTTGGGCCTGAGTAGCATGCATCCACTCGAAGTTAACTGCACCGATAATGCTGTCACGCGGTAAATGACTATAGATGAGGTCTGCACTGATAATTTAATTTACTGGACTCCAAAACTCGTAACTAGAATTAACTATAAGATTTCCACAGCACGCATTAAGTCTTGTCAGTCTGCTGTGTCTTCACTGGTCATCGCCTTGTTACGGCTTCCAACGCCGTAGATTCACCAGCTTCAATGTTCAGCAGCTTCTGTCCCCGGTGAATGGCGGCTGTCTCACCTCAACTAGGCGTTGTCTGATCAGAATTTTCTAACTAGGGCTGTTCCCCACGCCCCTATGGCTCAAAATCTGCATTAAACGCCGTCTGAACACTTGGTTCAAGTGAATACAGTTTACAAATCACTGTCACACTTACAGACTAATGTTCCCAGTCACGGTTTTCACTGCGCTCCTGGGTAAAGTCTTCCAGCAGTGGATGTTTCTGTTCCCGGGCCTGTCCTCTCAGGCTGTCGGCTCCAAATTCCTTACTGACTGGCATCTGTCTCACACCAACTAGGCGTTCCTACCCAAAGGCTTACAACATTGGCTGTTCCTCCACCTGCACCAGGCGACTGTCTCAGACTCGGACTGTCTGACTCCGAACTCGAAATCTACTCAATTAACTGCCGTTTCCCTCTATTCGCCGTGATATGGACTCGCGACAGACCCAACAGAAAACACCGCTTCCAACAGTTCTCTTGTTGTGTGACGTCACTGCTGTTCCGGAGAGGTGTTTATTACTCCATCGCCTTTGCAACGGGTGATGTATTTGGTGACGAGGGGTGGCGTGAAGTGATCCATTGTTGCGTGTAAGCGCGGCCCAGGTCATGTGACGTCCATTGAGAAATTGATATGTTTGCAGAGCCGTTCCAACTCGACGGCCGTCTCTGCTGGTTTCACAGTTCCGGCCCTCAGCTGATATGTGATAACACTACAAAAGCTGTCACGTATTTTCTCGCAGTTTCTATAACATAAGTAGGGTTTTCTAAACACACTAGAGCCCTTCAGTGTTCTGAAACCTGGGAATGGTAGTATTCACTTTCTGTGCTCTAGAGAAGGGTGTTACAGGTTACTGCTGCTGAGGAGGGATGACTAAACCCCTAATTTGCCACACACCGTGTAATCTTGCTCCGTTGATCTACAAGAAGATTGTGTCTGCCAAAGAAACCTGCCACTTTGAAACTGGAGATGCAAGTTGCGTACCGGTGCCTCCAGTTTGCACCAGAGACTGGCGTCTTATCAAAGGCTTGCGCCGGTAGCCGTATTGAATAAATATAGAAAAATACAAGGAGAATAAGAAATTTTAAAGTCGCTTCTCCGGGTCACGTTTAACCCAGTCAAACGTCCGAAGATCACAATAGTACCTCATTGACTATTTCAGAAGTAGTGTAGGATAAAGTTTAAATCTGACCAAAGCAAAATACAGCAGCAGTAGGCTGTCTGAGGTGGAAAATAAAACGTTATAGTGCAGTAATAATAATAATACTTTATTTGTATTTATTAAATTACACTGTCAGTAACTCGAACTGCATAGCATTGAATGATAGTCTTTTTGTATCTTTCTATAAGACGCTGTCATTAACATAAAATTGACCCTGGGCTTAATCATATAAGCACAACGTCATGAGGATATATGGGAGAGTGGAGTTACAGATCCACGTATTCTCAACCTCGGCACTAGATTGAGGTGAGTGGTCAGCTTCACGCCCCGGCCTCTTTACGAACGCAGCTACAGCTTCGGGTACACATCGCATATAAGTCTGGGTAGACCAATAGATCTAGACTTAGCGGAAAATAGAAAAACTTCTTGCACTGCCGAGAATCGAACCCAGATTCCCCGGCCGTCCAACCCCTAGCCCACTGTCGTAACCGAGTTAATATCGAGAATACATAGCATTGGAGGGGATGTTATATAAGGATTATGACCGCATGGGATCAGTTGAAAAACAACTCTGGTCGTGAGTCTCAAAGGGATGTCACCAAAAGGAAATGACTAGCGGTTAACTGCCATTCGTAAAGTCACTCTCACTCTTACTATGGACGTTGCAATGAATGATGAATTGGAAAGAATTTGGAAGGAAACAGGCGTGACCTAGCCGAGCTACTATGCCGCCATTCACATTATGAGCCCGCTTTCCCTGCTTTGAAGAATGAAAGTAGACGTCTCACCTGTTGTCTGTGTGTCTGTATATCCTCCCCATCAACTTTTGAATGCTTAAACCAATCTTTATGAAACTTGGTATGTATATCATGGCATCTGAACCTATTTCAGCTGTGTACTTCATAAATGCCTCCCATCACTTTGTATGTTTATACATGTATCCCCCTATTGTTGCCAGGCAACGGCTCGGTAAAAACATAACCACGGCAATGGATACACACGCAACAATAAGATAACTGTTGGACGCGTCGTTTTATATGAAGTCCATGTCTTGTTAAAAGAAATTAGGCGATTGGTTCTTCCCAGAACTTGTTAAAAATGTAAATGTTTCGCACGGATGTGAAATATTAACAGTAGTAGAAACTAACTAACTTCATGGAGCTGAGCCCTTCTTGAGAAGCTGTCGGTTGTGTAGCTACTCAAGAACTTCCCAGTACTTCATGGATCCCGAAGGTTTATTACCGTGTTCACAAGAGCTCTCCACTTGTCTCTATACTGAGCCAGATCGATCCAATCCATAGCACCCAAACTCTATCTCTAAGATATATTTTAATATTGTCCACACATCTATGTCTTGGTCTTCATAGCGGTCTCTTTCCTCCTGGCTTTCCCTCGAATTTCCTATATGCATTCCTCTTCTCCCCTAATTGTGCTTCATGCCCTGCCCATCTCATCCTCCTTGACTTCATCATTCTAATTACATTTGGCGAGGAGTTTAAGTTATGAAGCTCCTCATTACAACATTTGTGTTAGTACTCAAAATTCTTATAGAGGAAAAGTTTCCGAGATCTTTTTTCTTTTATTCGAATAGTGGGGGGTGGAGTCCAGCTAGTCGACTCGGCACGTCGGCCAGTGTTTGGCCAATTGTACTTGCCCCGGTTGATTATGAAGACGGATAATTTGTTGGAATGAAGATTGGCAGGGGAAACCGAAGTACTCGGTGAAAACTTGTCCCAGCTCCACTTTATCCACCACAAATCCCACTTGACCAGACTCGGTCTCTAACCCAGGTCGCCGCGGTGGGAAGCCAACGACTAACCTCTTGAGCTATGGCGCGGCCTCTTCCAAGACCTATACGTAATATTTGAAATCCGAATGGAACTTTTACCCCTCCGACCCAAATGAAAACCTAGTTATTATTTCACCTCGTTTCACTTTGCGACTCTTGAGCCTACTTTTGAGTAAATATGTATACAATATAATGGTTATTAAATCCACTAACGACTTATCGCCTGACCACCGTTGCTCCCTATGCACGGATGCGATCTATATGCTAATTAATGCCCTTGCTTACAGCGCACGGTATACCCGTGAATGGAGTCCTGTGTTAGCTTAGTATAGTGTTCGGTAGGAAATTGTCCACTCCCCTGCACTCTAATCCTCTTCATGACATGGCAGGTTCAGCCCTCATCAACGTGTTTCTTTTCCTGCGTCTTTGCATTTCTAACGACGATTTTCATCTACTTGATATCACGTTGAAATTAACAGTAATTACGAATAATGAAATGACGTTTTCTTTATTTTAACTCCCCATCGCAATACGAAGTAAGGTCACAATATAAATTCATTGTTTAATGCAACATGTTCCTGTTCATTGAGCCATCACCAGGTGTCTGACTTTTTACATTCACCTGTACTCTTCTACCAGTGTTCCTGACCAATGAAGGAATACCAGCTGACGAATACAGGTGAAACAGATCGTGGAGGCCCATATGGTTGTGAGACGTCGAGGTTCCCACATTAAAAAAAATCGGTTCATAGATGGCAGTGAGGTTGTCAGCTTTACGCGCCGGCCGCCCTTACACTCAAATACCTGATGTTGGCTTAATGAGCCGAAACATGGTGTAAGAAATGACGAACGTATGCTGTGTCCTTTCTTCCCATTTTGGTGGCGGAGGAAAATAAAGACATTTCAC